TATGTAACACTTTACACATAAATAAACTATTTCTATCTCTCTACATTGACTTACACATCCCTTTTTCCACTGGATGAATGATCGTCATTCAACGTTGAGTGTTTTTTCAGGGGATCATTCTCATTAAAATTAAGCAATAATGAATACATAATGTGTTCGTGATGGTGTGTTATCTATATCCTTAGTCTCTATTGCCTTAGGCTTAGGTTTGTATCGATAAGTAGAGTATTGTAACATTTACATTTGTAGTCAAATTCAGATGACTGCGTGCGTGTTAAGGGAAGCTTCTCGTCATTAAGTCAGTGTTCATACTAACAATTCTGGATATGTGGAGCATAAGCGTTAGCACTACAGACGTACCTTTCTGTCATTGTATTTGGATGCGACTTGAGTATGTTCAATTACAGTGATAACTATTGTTTGATAATTCTTATGGAACTTCCATCTCCATTACATATTTGCCAGAATATACCGAAGGGACCTGGTGGGATCTGCCTCTAGTAACTCCCTGTGTAATTAACGATAACCTCTTCTGGAAACCATTATTCTCTGATTCTATGCATTAGTCGAGATAATTTCCTCCGAAATTCCACCTGTAGACTTAAAAATCAGAAAGTCTCAAGAATCAGTCAAATATGTGATACTTTTACTAGAATTACCGTTGTATTTGCAGATCTGGTTGGTAATAATGAAATCGTTTCTGGTCTATTTCTACTAATGACGTCATTTCTTGTTAAATTTTGATTTGTGATACTAATACCGGTGCTGATGTCGCTTCCGGTGCTGACGTCGCTTCCGGTTTGTCCTTTCCTTTTTATTGGATAATGACGTCTCTCAAGGTCTATTTCTACCTAAGACGTCATTTCCTGATTTGGTAGACCTTTTCTGCTATTGCCGGTGCTGACGTTATTTCCGGTTAGGATCACACTTCCGGTGATGACGTCACTTCCGGTCACTGGCCATGGAGGCGGTTAATACTCAAGGTGCTTCTAATCCATCCTACACTTTATAGACAGGATAATCAAGGGTGTGTTATGAAGCCCACTGACAGCTAGACATAACTTGTTCTACTGATACAGGTGTCCATGAAGTAAGAATCATGGCTAGGACTCTACTCTCATGAGCCGAACAGGATCCAAGACGTGGGGTGGTATTCTGTGCCTGCTTATAACTCACTGCAATGATAGCCTTAAGTAAGCCCCCGATCATAGCCTTGGTGATGTCCTTGTTGGATTGAGTCTTGCAGGATATAAAGCGTCTCCTCCGTAGCGTCTACATGGGTCTGTAGCCGAGAGATAGAACTTGAGAGCTCTGATGGGACATCAATGTCTGTTTGGGTGATGCACTGTTGGTCCCAATGCAGAAATGGTATTGTATCTATGACCCAAGGGCCCCATTATGGTAGACTGATTTCTGGCTACACAATCTGGGAGCGACCTTAGAGTGATTGAGACCAAATGTTGATTATGAGTGAGACTAGAATAGTCCAGGGCATGGAGAAATTCTTGCTGCTGTCGCCATGGCTAGGATGAAGGATGCCTTCCTTGTTGATGGAGTAAGGTAGCCTTAGCCATAGACTTGTGAGGTTCCCTTAAAAATGCCGATAGTACACCAGATAGATTTCACTTGGGGAAAGACATGAGGTGTGCAAACATCTTCTAGTAGAAAGGATCTTATTAGTCTGTTTAGAATTGGGTGGTTTCCATTGACAGTCCGTCATGTTGAAGTACAGATTGAAGAGCCGATCTGTAACTTTCTATCGTCCCATGTCGGAGCTTTTTTTCCTGATGTACACTGATGTAGTGATTTTGTGTGATAAATTTCAGGCGTTTAGATGAAGGCTGGGCAGGATGTCATGGAAAGATTTTGACTTGGGCTGTCGTAACAGATCTCAAGGTTATTGGCGAGGTTCTTCCATTAGTAAACTTAATAATCTAGGGAACCACGTTCTGCTGGTCTAGATTGGTGCTATACGTAATTATCACGCAATCCTTCTCCTGCACCTTGTGGATGACCTTGTGTAGGAGAGACCATGGTGAGAATGCCTATGCAAATAGATCCGTCCAATCCATCGATAGCGAATCGATCTGGTGAGCCCTTTGGATGGGAACTTATCTGCCATAAACCGGAGTGGATCGTTCTTGTAGGTGACAAATAGATCTTCGTGCGGTGTGTCCCATAACGTGGTCATCAAAGCAAAGACCTGGGGATGTAAAATCCATTCTGTTGCCACTATACTCCCTTGGTGGGAAAAGCTGCCGTCAAGGTTGTGTTTCCCGGGAATATGTCTCGCTTCCATCCGACAACTGATAGAGTCAGCTCGTCCACTTCAGTCTGCTAGTGTCGGGATATGACGAAACGTGGAAAACTGTGTTGTCAGCAATCCAATGCCAAATCCCTAGTGGACGTATAGGCGCACCCGTTCTGTATCGAGGAGCGGTCGTAGCAATTTGGCAATGTACAGGACAGGTTAAACAATTCCTTGATCTGAAATCGTTTCCATCGCATAAGCGTTCCTGTTGTTATATCGGGGAACGATGGTGCGTGGTGTCTCGTTCACTACGTGTGCAGGCATCAGACATCCACTGTATTTGTGAATTGGCTACATGATGTGTCTGATTCCAGTGACAAACCAGTTGATATAAGTGCCGATGTCCATAGAATATTTGGATACCGAGGACGGATCCTTAATCCATGAAGCAGGTAACGTGACATTAGTATTAGGGTTGCGTACTAGCTTCATAAAGTCTTCGTCTAAACTTTGATAATCCGGAAATGGAGCATCATGTGTTCTATACAACTTCTGCTTCAATGGAGGAAAGTGTAATTGTTCATCATGTCTGAGCTTGAGTAGGCTTTCTGACATCTATTCTACTATCTTGCCTGCATAACTCGGTCAAGGCAACGTCTAGTAGATATGTTGAGATGATGAAGAAACATTACATCCCCCATATTCTGGCATCTTAGATGGCGAATTTCTGTCACATGAGGTCGGAGTACAGGCATGAGGTGATATAACTCCTGGATGAGTTCGACGAAGTATATCCCTCCGTATAATTCCATTGGAGGGAGTCTTCAGCCTGATTAATCTCTTCATAAACCTCCACTTCCGCCTCCGAGTGGCCATGGGTAGCTTGGATATTCGTAATATTTCATACACTCCACGTGATTCCCTTTCGGTTCATTATCCGCTGTTGTCCAGGATTCCGGTATGATTAAGCCGTGTGGCTTGTAATGGCTGCCCGTGTATACTGAAGCCCGTTCGGTATTCTTCGTCTCGGTCAGTTGGACGGTCCCGTGCGGTGTCTTAACGGTCGGCTGGGTTTCCATGGAATCCGTGCGTCGACCGTACGGTGTCTTAGCTGGGAAGTAATGCCTTGCGGTACCCTGCTGGGACCCAAACGAAGAATAGCTGACCGTGTCTCACGGTAGGGAAAAGCTTGCGAGCTGATACCCGGCTGGTCGGACGGCTGGTCGGACAGCTGGCCGTACAGCTGATCGGTTGTCTGGACAGCTGGCTGGCCCAGCTGTCTGGATGGTTGACTGGTCGGTACGGTCGGCTGGGGTAGGCGCTATGGCCGTGTGTGGTGCAAAGACAAATGGCTGTGCCCCATGCGGTCTCTTGACCTGGGAACTCTTCTTAGCCAGAGCTGTCAGTCAATTCTTCATTAACTTCAACTAACTTTTTGGCTGCTTCACGCCTTTTAGTCTTAGTTACACCATCAGCTAACTTTTTAGAAGAGGTTGGCACACTGCTCTCATCTAGCCTCCTCTGGACATATTACCCCTCCGCACTTCCAGCAGGTACGATGGGGATCTGCTGTGATCATGAACGACCACACTTCTTGAAACCAGGAGTAAGGGGAGACTCCCATTACTACCTACAACGCACCTCACACCAGCTTATGCTCACGTGCGTACGATCGTCACTCCGACTAGCAACTATCAACATTGACTTACTGTGTCTCTTTTTCTTAAACTATCAGAATAATCTAAGACTTATGTGACTACTACTCAGTGCTAGATCGTTACAACTATAAAATAGGTGTTGACTCGAGCACACACAGGAGAGAAGTGAGATTCCCGCCATTATGCACGTCATAACTTGGGTTGCTATTGTGCTATATGGGGAAAAACTAAGTGTGTGATTTACAGTGAAGAGGACGTCTGTTGAAAATCGGAGAGTTTTAGTCAGTGTGACTGAAGCCAAAATACAGGATTTATGGCAAAGATGTAATAGATTACAATTTTTAAAACTATTAATTTACTTTTACAAAATATACTGTAAATGCCAAAATATGTTTGCTACTTTGAAATGATGTATCAAGGATCGTGTAGAACATATATTGACAGTAGCGCGGGGACCTGGAGTTTGTCCACAGACCCGTATAAACAACACTACTTTTTCCCTTTTTACTGACGCAGTTAAAATTTTACTTTTGCTGGAGGCCTTTTCGCCAAATTTGTATAAATACAATCTTGCAAATGTGAACAAACAACGGCATCACTTCCGGCAGCCATCACGTGACATCCCTTCAAAGTAAATAATGTCAGATTGTGCGTTCAAAGAGCGTGCTAGTTTGAAATAATGAAATAAGGAGTTATGTTTGTGGATAACTATAGATTTCCTAAATCCTCATCACATTGTTGTAGGGCGACCAGTAGTGACACTTACAAACACAAATATTCAGTGTATAAAAATTATCTTTGCATTGATTCTTGCTTCAACTAACGAAAAGTAAACACATGTTGCGGCAGTGTCATACCTATCTCGCAGAAGGCTCTCATTATTTGAATAACACCATATGTACAATAAAACTACGTTTCCAAGAGACCAAGAAGGTATCCATATGCACGTTAGTCATGGTATTCAACAGGTTCTTAATTGTCAGCTAACAAATACATTGTGCAAAAGCTAACTGACAAACAGTGTGAATATCATAGTGACATTCCAGGTATTTGGGAGGCGTTTTGGATAAGACTTTCTGAATATTACTTACCAATCATTACCAGTTTCTGACCACAGCCAGTGATAATTTGACCTCCTGAGTCTGGTGAGCCTATGTAACACTTGTAATGACCTTCGTCTTCCCAAGTTACATCAGAGAGCACGAATCTAAACAAACCAGTTCCCGATGATGACACGTTTCCAATGAATCTCACTCTAGATGTGAACTTGTCACTGGCAGCTCTGACATCATTATATCCTGTGATGTGGAGAAGGCATCTCTTTGTCTCACTGTTACACACACTGAACTCGCTGGTCCCAGGATCCGGGATAATCCATGACAACGTGGCATAGCCACCGAACCTTGCACTGGAATCCTTAGCCACTGGAAAACAGAACATTTATGACAGCTTGACAGAGAAAGACACTCGCTAGAGTGTTAATAAATGTAAATAAAGAAATGATAGACAACGTGTTAAACACGAAAGTCTCTTAGCCTAAACAGAAAATACTGGACTTCCAGCATATTCAGGTACTTAATCCACAGAAGTTCTTGACTTGATCAACAGTAAAAAGGTACTTAAACTGAGCTAGATATGCTTGAGAAAAGTAGTTATTCACAGATTCCAAGATAAAGGGGGAAAACTAACTACTTATCAAATATTGGGGATGTAGGCATAAAAATAAAGGGCTGAACATTGGCTCCCCAAGGATAATATTAAAGATCTACAGCCATATATATACAATAAGTAGGGTGGTAGAAATGGTTACAAATACATGAGAATTATTTTTATAGTACTAGATAATTATTCTACTGCGAGAAATGTGAATTTTCTTATACACACATGGGATATCAAATTAACACATGATAATAGCATAAGATAACAAATACTAAAGAATGAAATTTACAGACAACAAAGTATTTAGCGGCACCCTAACAAAACACAGAGTTAAAGAATACATAAATGACGGAACGTGATGTAGCCTTGCATGTCTATGAACGGGTATATCTATTATAAAGTATATGATTCATGGCGTTTTAGATCATCACTACGATCTGTGTCTTTTCTGTCCACTAGCCCAGTTACATGAACATTACTGTCTTGTAGACAATAACTCTATATTATACCATGACGACAAGCATTGGTTCTTTGGGAACTATATTCTTACCCGTAATATTCACGGGTCTAACTGGCATGTGAGCACAACGCTACTGTTGCATGACATAAACAAATATGTTTCAAGAATACAATGAGTAATGACGTCTTGAAGACACACACATTAGCACAGCTTATATTCTTTGACTGTGAAATATCATATACAACAATGAAGACCATATGCGTTTCATTTCAGATACCGAACCTTCTTTGGATTTGTGCTTATTACAGTTTTGTGATTCTAAACTTTTAGATATCAACATACACTCTTCAAAAAAAAAGAAACGCACAGGTAGATTTTCAGTAAATTTATTGTATCATATCATAGATACCAATGTGAAATTTTGGAGCTCGATAGTCACATGTTGCATTGCAATTGAAAACTATTCATTGTCATGTCACAAAAGGCCAAAAGGTTGCACTGAACTCAGTATCTCATGTGACCGCCCCAGGCAGCAATCACGGCCTTGCATCTCCTCGGCACTGACTTGATAAGCGTACGAATTCTGTCCTGCGGAATTCTGCGCAATCCTGCGTGTAACACGTTGGCCAGTTGTTAGTATGTCTGTGGCGTGTCCTGACGTTGACGCTCACGTCGATCGAGTTCATCCTAGAGGTGTTCGATTGGGTTGAGATCTGGAAACTTGACGACCAGGGCAAGACGTTAATGTTGGCATTTTAAAGGTAGTCTACCGTGACACAAGCTGTGTGCGATGGAGCGTTGTGTTGTAGAAACAGTTCCCTCTGACGGTCAATGATTGGAAGAAGCTGAGGTTGAAGAATTTAAATCATGTAGCGATGTGCTGTCAAATTTCCCTGAACCACAACCAAGTCAGATCTCCTGGAGTAGGATACGGCCCCCATACCATAACACTACCGCCACCGTATTTGTCGAATTCACGTACACGATGTGGGGCACAACGCTCATTTCGACGACGTTAAACACGTTGTCTTCCATCTTGCCGGTGAAGAAGAAATCGTGATTCATCGCTAAACCACACTCGTCTCCAGTTTCTCAAATCCAAAGGCTGTTATGACACTAACGCAAGCGTCGCTTTCGATAAAACTGTAGCAAAACAGGGACGATAACTGCTCTTCTGGGTCGGATTCCAGCCTCACGAAGATGGTTCCTGAAAGTCTGGTCCGATATCCTCCTCAAACCAGGGATGCGTCCTGGAGTCTCAGTAGCAGTGGCATTGCTATGACGAAGGCTGAACAGTCGAATGTAGCGATCCTGTGCAGAGGTGGTAACTCTTGGTCGGCCGGCTGCAGTGGATTTGAACTGTAGCGTCACATGGCGGCAAATGGTGCTGTGGTGGACGTTGAAGTGGCGTGCAACAGAAGAGATTGCCATTCCACTCTTTGGATACGTCATATGGCCATGTTCCGATCGGCATGTTCCGCTGAGTCTCGGGATTTTCGAACTTGAAAAATGTTGACAAGTGTATAACAAATTATTGGCGTATGCTTGCCTTTTTATAGCCACTACCTCGAGTTACGAATGACATAACTCGCACGTGCATTTTGCTATACTTTTTTCCTCCATGACAATTTTGAAAAAGTGTGAAAACAATGCCGTTTAAGACATAGCAAATCGACAATGGCTACGTTTTGACGCACCATTTGTCGAATATCAGGCCACCAACATTTTCGAATAACATATATCCAGTTTTTATACCGGATTGTTGGTGGTCAGGTTCAGTGAACTACATATTACCTGTGCCTTTCTTTGTTTGACGAGTGTAAGATCTATGAATTCACTAATCAAAATTAAGCAAATTACCCAGAATCTCCACAGATCAAACAAACATGTGACCACTGCACTAATGTTATAAGAAATGGCATAATCGACATAATCCCTCACAGTGACGTAAGTCTGGAAATAAAGGCGACAAAACCCTTTCCATATTCATAAGAAATCTCTTCTAGCACAGTCGATTGTACGATTCCGTCTACATCGTGACCACGTGTTTAAAATATTTATAAAAAGAGGTGAGCAAATCCTGTCCCATTGTCACTGATGCGTCAAACTTGGAAATGTCATTCATATATCTACAATAAAATAAATTAAAAGCTTTACGAAGGCCTTGAATGCTGTAACTTTAATCAAACCTCTTCTGAGTAAACGACGAATTATGCACTTTGACATCTTTGGAGAAAAAGCATGCTCGATTGTATTTCTAAGGTAGTAAAATGTAAACACCAAAGGCTGGACGTGCTGGGAATATTGCTCGAGATAAAGGGACGTCTGGCATGCATAAACATACCTCGAATGATGTGGAACTTACAAACCCTCTAAGGGGGACAATTTTACGCTACTTCGACCCCCTCTCTAGGGTACAGCCACTAATAATTAAAGTTATTATTAGCACTTCCATTTTATAAAATGATACACTAAGTGCATCAAAGTTAATGAACACGATCTGTTTCTTTTCAAAAAGCATACTATAAAATGAGAATTAACATAATTAAAAAGGTCCTTGACTGTTTTTACAATGAAATAATTATCCCTTGTGATGGAAAAATCAGCACAGTCAAGCAGGACATTCGTCAAAAGGGACACACAACGGAGGATCCTCAGTGCTCAATAAATATATACTGAACAACAAAAGTTCCTGTGACATTGAATAAGATTGAATACAAAGTTATGTTTTTTACCAAATCTCAAACAACTTCGGTTTGCAACAGATAAAAGACTCCTGTAAGTGTTTAAATGGTTTAATTTGCCATACTGACTTCAGAAAATGCGTGATTTCATAAAAAAAACATGAACATGCCAAAATGTCAATTTACAAATCAATAACGTGTGTGTCCACCTCTGGTTGCGATGCACGTAACACATCTTCGTCTCATCGAATGGACCAGGCGTCGCACAAAGTCCTGCGGGATATCTTTCCATATCTGCTGGAGCATGTTTCGAAGTTCCTGGAGTGTCTGTGGAACACGTTGTTGACGTTGAAAGCGCAGATCCATCTCATCTCACATGTGCTCGATTGGTGAGAGACCAGGGGAGCGAGCCGGCCAGGGGATGACATTCATGTTGTTTTGTTGAAGAGAATCATGAACAAGTCGAGCAATATGAGGCCGGGCGTTGTCATGTTGAAAGGTAATGCCTGTGCCATGACGACGCAAAAACGGTAGAACAACAGGGCCGATGATCTCGTCACGATACCTCTGTCCGTTGAGATTTCCCTCTACCGCTATCAAACGGGTCCTCTGTCTTGCTGTAATCCCACCCCATACCATAACGCTAACGCCTCCCAACCGATCTTCTTCCATGACACAATAATTGACGTAACGTTCGGCTCGACGTCGGTACACTCGAATTCGTCCATCGCTGTGGCTGAGGTGAAAACGAGACTCGTCAGTGAATAGAACTGCATGACCGTCCAGCGTAGACGCTGTCTGCAGCACTGTAGACGTGCTGGGTGGTGGTTTCCTGTCAAAATTGGACGTCTGACGGGTCTTCTGGCGACAATCCCTGCACATATTTGGAGGCGACGTACGGTTTATGAAGATATTCGTCGAAGGCCAGGGTTGCTTCTTGCAGTCACTGTTGCTGGCTGGAATTGATTTCGTAGGTGTGTTGCTGGAATCCAATTGTCTTGTTGATTATTGGATACGCGTGGCCCACCACTCCAAGGATGGTCTCTGACTGCATTCGTCTGTTGCCAACAACACCAATGGTGTTTCTGTGGACGTTAAAATGTCTTGCGACATCACGTTGACTCGATCCTGCTTCAAGCATACCAATGGCTCGCAGAAGCTCATTTTCGGACAAGCGTGCCTTTTCGTAATGTTGAATAATTGTGTTGTTTTTCTGAGTGGTTGTTGTCAGCACGATGCTAAACAATGCATATGGAATCCCGTTAACGCACGTGTTTTATGCCCATTCTTGGGGAGTGAAATGCATGGGGCTTGCATAAAAGTCAACTTTGGCATGGAATGCATGCTTTTCTGTAGCAGTTGCTCGGCATTCCATACATGCACTACAATATTGTAAACTAAACTTTACATGTTTGAAAAAAAGACTAAAATATTGGTGTCACAGGAACTTTTGCTGTTGAGTATATATGGGTATATCTGCTGTGGCCAATACAATATCGTCGCATAATGACCTCTTTAAATCTGGACTGACAGCCCAAGTAGGTGTAATTGATATTTGGTTTAATTTCATGTAATTAAACGATACCTACCTGGGTTTACCACTTCTTTTGCATGAGATCTC